AATGAAAGAAAGAAAGAATTAATTAATGAAAGAAAGAAAGAAAGAAAGGAAGAAAGAAAGAAAGAAAGGAAGAAAGAAAGAAAGAAAGAAAGAAAAAAAAAGAATAAAAAAGAAAGAAAGAAAGAAAAAAAAAAAAAAAAAGGAAAGAAGGATTCGTGCATGTAGCGCGCTTTTAACCTAAAACATAGTCTATAGGATATTTTAAATTAATAAAAAATACGCGATAAATCTTATATTGAACGATTATTCGCCGAAGGCGATGTGATAACCGTTGGAATATTTACCGAGCCGCGAGTCTCGAGCGGCGAGGAAAATATTCACCATTATCACTGCGCCTGAGGGGAATAATTGGTTTAGTATAATTTTAGACTCGAATAACAGAGATTAGTCGTAGTTCAGGATTAAGAAACGCTTAAAGTATTACCTTCATTCTGGCAAACTTGGAAAGCCTCATAATCATCGCTCGAGCAGTGATTACCGTCTCAGAAATACTGGTTGATCGACCGATCACAGTGGGAGAAACTCTATATTCAAGTCTAAAATTGTGCTAAAAATTGGATAATTGCTAGCCGGCTTAGAATATTAAAAAACGCCGCTGGAAAACGGAAGAAACTAGAGTATAAAGAATAGGGAACGGATCATCGGATCATCGCCTCAGAAACACTGGTTGATCCAGATCGAGAAACTCTATATTCAAGTCTAAGATTATACTTAAAATTGACAATTGTTAGCCGGCTTAGAATATAAAAAACGCCACAGGAAGACCGAAGAAACTAGAGTATAGAGAATAGGGAACGGCGGATTTTCTCAAATTCTCTACTTTCACATCCCTATAATACTTTGCGTCATTGGGGGGTAACCAGAGGGTAAAAACCCACTAACTTTGCTCAAGGCTGATCAGACAATGTTGAATATACCTTGTTTGGTATCCAAAGATAAAATAAAGAAGTAAAAAACAGAAAAAGATAGAAGCTTGAAGACGTTTAAGGTGAATTTTAAAAACTTTTTCGTAAGTCAATACATTTTCTGTAAGACCAAATCTCTTGATGATCTGTACACTTAAAAATAATTTGGAATAAACTGATAATCAGTATTGTACAGATAAAAGCAGGTATAGTATAAATTCAATTAAGAAACCTTTCAATTTTGGACAGTTTTTTGATTGGTTACCCCCCAAAGACGCAAGGCATTATGGGGATGTGAAAGTATAGAGTAGACCCTTTTCGACTTCCAAATTACCGCTGTGTTCCTTGATTACAGACTCATTTACTCAGGCTTATCCTCGCATCAGTGTTTAAATATTCACAAATACCAACGGTAAAGTAAAGAATGCACAACTTCAAACACTTTGAAACTTGACGGACCTTGATTGGAACACGTGAATATTCTTCACAAAATCGAGGCTAGGCCTGAGTAAATGAGCCTGTAATCAAGAAACACAGCGGTAAATTGGAACTCGAAAAGGGTCTATTTACAGTGGTGTCTGTAGTAGCCACCTTATATTATATACATCAGACTGACACTTTTTTGACTATGTATTTTAATGCAAGTAAATAATGATAAATAATATAGCACAGGTATTAATGAGCTACGCTTTTGTTGAAAGATAATCGAAATGGTACCAAAATCTTTCTTTTTTTTTTTAGGAAACAAAAATATGTCATGCCAAGAATGCAATTACCAGGGTACGTGGGTGGACAGGGCGGACAACAAAAAAAAAACCTTCACTAATTCATAGGTGAGTAACTAAGTGCTTCTCATCATCTAAAAGCAAGGCTATAATGGACTACTTAGACGATACGGCGGCCATCTTGCCAGGGGGCAAAGCAAAACAAAAATGACGGAAAATATAATAAGTTTCGTGTGTTTGTCTTTCTTTTATGGGTAAAGGTGATCGATGTGCTGTCTTGATTCATATTAGTTGTAATATCTTGTGGTGAGCTGTTAATATCAATAGACATTATTACTGTAACAAAGATTTATTTGATCCCTGGACGCCTCATAATGCCTTGCAATCCAAGATGGCCGCCGTATCGTCAAAGTAGTTCATTGCATAGGAAATCTTGAATTGATTACATGCCACGTTATAGAAATAGGTAATCCGAGTGGGAGTGATCAGAAAATAGGGTAATTAGTTACCCTACAAAATCATCTTTCTAAAAATATGTTGATTTTGGTCATTTCCAGTTTACAAAATACCGCTGAAATATTTTACTGCAGACGCATATACCCATTAAGAATCAAGTTTCTAGAAACTTCTTGATTTTTGAGGCATTTCCGGTTTCATGAAATACCGCTGTGTTCTTTTATCGCAGTTGCATGAAAATATAACTTAAAAATTTAAGGTATTTAAGTGTTTCCTCGCTATGCTTTTGCTGATGTCATTTAACTCTCATATAAACACTATGATAGCTTTATAGAACACTGTCGAGTAAAAATGTCGACTTCAATTCTAAGCTCCTTAAACCTAGCGGCTAGTTTACCTGGAAATCAGTGAATGAACGACTATTCAAATTATTTCTCGACGACTTGATCAGCCCACATATAACGGGTAGCGGACTAGTTTATCTGAGAATCAGTGAA